TCTCTGCTGTGGCCAGGGAGTGCAGTGGAGGATGGCCCAAGTGCTTGGGCCCTGCACCCCTTGGGAGACGAGGATAAGTACCTGGCTCCTGCCATTGGATCAGCGCGGTGCGCCGGCCGTGACGGCCATTGGAGGGTGAACCAACGGCAAAGGAAGACCTTTCTCTCTGTCTCTCTCTCTCACTGTCCACTCTGCCTGTCAAAAAAAAAAAAAAAAAAGTGAGTCACTATGAGGAGTGACCACATCATTGGATGTTAATTCTTTTTCAAAAATCTTTTTGTTGGGGCCGGTGCCGTGGCCCACTTGGTTAATCCTCTTGCCTGCAGCGCCGGCATCCCATATGGGCGCCGGGTTCTAGTCCCGGTTGCTCTTCTTCGAGTCCAGCTCTCTGCAGTGGCCGGGGAAGACAGTAGAGGATGGCCCAGGTGCTTGGACCCTGCACCCGCATGGGAGACTGGGAAGAAGCACCTGGCTCCTGGCTTCGGATCAGCACAGCGCTGGCCGTAGCGGCCATTTGGGGAGTGAACCAACAGAAGGAAGACCTTTCTCTCTGTCTCTCACTGTCTGTAACTCTACATGCGAAATAAAATAATAGTCATCATCATCATCGTCATCATCATCTTTTTGTTACTGATTTCTCATTTCACTTCAGTTTGACTTAGAACATACTTAGCCTGATTCTGATCCTTTCAGATGTGAGATTTTTTTTTACGACCCAGGATATGGTTTATCTGGTTTATCTTGGTGAATGTTCCGGGTACACTTGGTAACAATGTGTATCTTGCTGCTGTTGGGTGGAGTGTGTTATAAATGTCAGTTAAGTCAGGTTGGCTGATAGTGTTGTTCATGCCCTTGCTGACTTTTCTGCCTCCTTGTTCTGTCAGATTATTAAGAGAGGGATATTGAAGTCTCTGGACTATAATTTCAGGTTTCTTTATTCTTTGTTCTAAAATCTGCTGATGTTAATGTAACTCCCCTACCTTTCTTTTGACTATTGTTAACATGGTATATCTTTTCTACACTTTTTACTCTTAAACTATTTGTGTCTTTATATTTAAAATGTTTTCTTATAGGTAGCATAGAGTTTGTTCTTGCTTCAAACTTTTTTTTTAAAGGATATGTTTATTTATTTCAAAGTTAGTATCATGGTGGGGTTGAGAGGAGACAGAGAGATCTTCCATCCACTGGTTACTCCCCAGATGGCCCCAGCAGCCAGAGCTGTGCTGATCTGAAGCCAGGAGCCAGGGGCTTCCTTCAGGTCTCTCACATGGGTGCAGGGGCCCAGGCACCTGGGACATCTTATACTGCTTTCTCTGGCGCATCAGCAGGGAGGTGGATCGGAACTGGAGCAGCTGGAACTGGAGCAACACCAAGAGGCAGTGACTTTACCCACTACACCACAGCGCCAGCTCCTCAAATTTTTATTTTTTTTATTTTTAGTTATTTGAGAGCCAGAGAGTTCCCATCTGCTGTTTTACTCCACCAGTGCTTGCAACTTGTGAGACTAGGTAAGGCTGAAGCCAGGAGCCAAGAACTCAATCTAGGTCTTTCATATGGGTGGCAGGGACCCAGTTTCTCGAGCCGTCACTGCTGCTTACCTCCTAGTGGTCTGCATTGGCAGGAAGCAGGAGTCAGGAGTTGAAGTTGGAGATCAAACCCAGGTACTCCCGTATGGAACGTGACTATCTTACCACTAAGCCAAACACCCACCCCATTCTTGCTTTTTTTTTTTAACCAACATGACAGTGCTTGCTTAATAATTGGTATATTTATACCATTTGAATAAATGTGATTATTGATATGGTTAGGCTTGAATCTGTTGCCTTGCTATTCGTTTTCTATTTGTCCTAACTGCTCTTTATTCTGGTTGACTTCTTTAACTTAGTGGAGTATTTTCTTCCTTCCTTCTTTTCTTTTCTTCCTTAAAGATTTATTTATTTATTTTAAGATCAGAGTTACACAGAGAGACAAGGAGAGGCAGAGAGAGAAAGGCCTTCCATCTGCTGGTTCACTCCCCAATTGGCCACAACAGCTGGAGCTGCACCAATGCAAAGCCAGGATCCAGGAACTTCTTCTGGGTCTCCCACATGGGTGCAGGGGTTCAAGAACTTGGGCCATCTCCCACTGCTTTCCCAGGCCACAGCAGAGAGCCGGATCTCAAGTGGAACAGCCAGGAGTCGAACCCGCGCCCATATGAGATGCTGGCACTGCAGGCAGCACTTTACCTGCTACGCCACAGTGCCAGCCCCTGGTAGAGGATTGTCTGTGATCTCAATTTATCTACTTTGTGGGAATATTAGATATAACTTTTTAAAAAAGATTGATTGATTGATTGATTTGAAATCTGGATTTACAGAGAGAGGGAGAGATAGAGCGAGATCTTCCGTCCACTGGTTCACTCCCCAGGTGGCTACAACCTCTGTGGCTGGGCCCAGTTGAAGCCAGAAGCCTCGAACTCCATCCATGTCTCCCACATGGGTGGTAGGGTCCCAAGTACTTGGGCCATCTTCCACTGCTCTCCCAGGCTCATTAATAGGGAGCTGGATAGGAAATGGAGCAGCTGGGACTCCAGCCAGTGCTCATAAGGGATGCCCTCACAGACAGCATCCTAACCTGCTGCCCCACAATGCCAGCCCCCAGGTGTAATTTTTTGTTTTATGTTTATGATGTTAGTGGTTATATTGAAGTTTACAGTATATATCTTTTTTTTGTTTGTTTGACAGGTAGAGTTAGACAGTGAGAGAGAGAGAAAGACAGAGAGAAAGGGTCTTCCTTCCATTGGTTCACTCCCCAAATGGCCGCTATGGCCGGAACTACACTGATCCGAAGCCAGGAGCCAGGTGATTCCTCCAGGTCTCCCACGCGGGTGCAGGCGCCCAGGCACCTGGGCCATCCTCCACTGCCTTCCCGGGCCACAGCAGAGAGCTGGACTGGAAGAGGAGCAGCCGGGAATAGAACTGGGTGCCCATATGGGATGCTGGCGCCTCAGGCGGAGGATTAGCCAAGTGAGCCACGGCACCGGCCCCTACAGTATATATCTTATACAGTATATATAACTTATGAGTCTACCTTCAGATGTTATACCACTTGATGTATGGAAAAAGAAGCTTACAGTAGTATATTTCCATCATTCCAGCCTCTCTGATATTATCATTCATAAACCTTACTTTTACATATGTTACAAATCCCACAGAATCTTTTACTTTTGTTTAACCAATTATTTTTTAAAGGTTTTCAATAGGAAAAATTGCTTTTTTAAAAAATTTTATTGGCTAGCGCCGCGGCCCAATAGGGTAATCCTCCGCCTGCGGCGCCGGCACTCTGTGTTCTAGTCCTGGTCGGGGCGCTGGATTCTGTCCTGGTTGCTCCTCCTCCAGGCCAGCTCTCTGCTGTGGCCAGGGAGTGCAGTGGAGGATGGCCCAAGTGCTTGGGCCCTGCACCGGCAAGGGAGACCAAGAGAAACACCTGGCTCCTGGCTACGGATCAGCGCGGTGCGCCGGCTGCAGTGTGCCGGCCGCAGCGGCCATTGTGGGGGTGAACCAACGGCAAAAGGAAGACCTTTCTCTCTGTTTCTCTCACTGTCCACTCTGCCTGTCAAAAAAATTTTTTTTATTGTGTATATTTAAGGCATACAACATGATGCTAGGGGATGTGGATAGCTGGTTAAAATTGTTACTGTTGTGAAGCAAATGAAATATCTATCATGTCATGTAGCTGCCCTTTTCTGGTTGTTTTTGAGACAAAATCAGCTATAATCTCAATTAACATGATTTCATACATAGTATGATTTTGCTATCTTCATGCTGTATATTACATCTCTAGTCTTGTTCACCTTACATATCTGCTAATTTGTGTCCCCCATCTTGTATTATCTCACCACTCCCTGTCCTCTAATAAAGGATTTGATTTATAGTCTCTTTTTATATTACACACAGACTTTTAAAATTAATTTATTTGAAAAAGAGACAGAGATCTTCCATCAGCTAGCTTGCTTCCCAAATGCCTGCAACAGTGGAGGTTGGAGCAGGCTGAAGCCAGGAGCCAAGAACTCTAGCTGAATCCACCACATGGGTATCGGGGATCTGGATTCTTGAGGCACATTGTCAGGAAACTGGAATTGGAAGTGGAGCTAGAACTCAAACCAGGCACTCAAGTATAGGATGTGGGCTTCCCAAAAGATATTTTTTTAAATGATTTATTTATTTATTTATTTATTTGAAAGGCAAAGTTACAGAGAGAGGGGAAATGAGAGAGGTCTTTCACCTCCCAATGGCACAAGGACCCAGGCAGGGCCAGGCTGAAGCCTGGAGCCAGGAGCCAGGAGCTTCATCCTGGTCTCCCATGTGCCTACAGGTAACCAGCTACTTGGGCCATCTTCTTCAGATTTCCCAGATACATTAGCAGGGAGCTGGATTGGAAGTAGAGCAGCTGGGATTTGAACCGGTGCCCATGGGTGATGGCGGCATCACATATAGCAGCTAACATACTGTGCCATAGCACTGGCCCCCAAGTCATGTCTTAACTACTGTGTCAAACACCTGCCTACATGCCCCAGTGTGTCTCCTTTCATTCTTTCTTTTAAGACTTATTTATTTGAAAGGCAGAAGAGGAGAGCAGAGATCTTCTATCCAGTGATTCACTCCCCAGATGGCTACAACAGCTGGCACTGGGTCAGGCTGAAACCAGGAGCCAGAAGCTTCATTCTAGGTCTCCCATGTGGATGGCAGGGACCCACCTGGCCCATCTTCTGCTGATTTCCCAGGTGTATCAGCAAGGAGCTGGATCGGAAGTGGAGCAACCTGTGCTTGTATGGGATGCTGGCCTCGCAGGCAGCGGTTCAACACTTGCTGTGCCACAATGCCGGCCCCCATGTACTCACATGACCTTTTTCAGTGCTCTTTATTCCTTTATGTAGATCAGTATGGTACAACTTTCCTTTTGACTAAAGAACTTCTTTTAACAATATAGTGAAGGTCCACAGTTGATAAATTTTTTTTTTTTTTGACAGGCAGAGTGGACAGTGAGAGAGAGACAGAGAGAAAGGTCTTCCTTTGGCCGCTGGTTCACCCTCCAATGGCCGCCGCGGCCGGCGCACCGCACTGATCCGATGGCAGGAGCCAGGAGCTTCTCCTGGTCTCCCATGGGGTGCAGGGCCCAAGTACTTGGGCCATCCTCCACTGCACTCCCTGGCCACAGCAGAGAGCTGGCCTGGAAGAGGGGCAACCGGGACAGAATCCGGCACCCCGACCGGGACTAGAACCCGGTGTGCCGGCGCCACTAGGTGGAGGATTAGCCTATTGAGCCACAGCGCCGGCCACTGTTGATAAATTCTTTGAACTTTAGTATTACTTTTGTAAATCTATTTTTGTTGTATCATTGTATCTTTTTGTTAAATTGACCTCTTTTACTTTCTGTATTTTAAAATGTTGCTCCACCGTCGTCTTGTTTACTTCCAGTGAGAAATATGATGTCATCCTTATCTTTATTCCTATTTAGTTTCTAAGCCTCTTTTTGTCTGGCTTCTTTTAGGATTTTCTCTTCATCCCTAGGTTTGAGTTACTTGATGACAACACAGTTTAATGAATTTTTTTTTCATGTTTCTTGCACTTGGGGTTAGTTGAGCTTTTTTTTTTTTTTTTTCAATGATTTATTTACTTATTTATTTGAAAGAGTTAAAGGAAGAGACAGAGATTTCCATCCACTGGTTGACTCCCCAAATGGCCGCAACAGCCAGGGTTAGGTCTTGTAAAAGCCAGGAGTTGGGGGCTTCTTCTGGGTCTCCTACATGGGTGCAGGGGCCCAAGCTCTTGGGCCATCCTCTGCTGCTTTCCCAGGCACCTCAGCAGGAAGCTGTATGGGAAACAGAGTAGCTGAGACTCCACATAGAATGCATGTGTCCTAAGCAGTGGGGTAATCCGTAGCACACAATGCCTGCCGCAGGTTTTTTGTTGTTAAGTAATGTGGTGGCAGGGACTCAAGTATTTGAGCTATCACCTGCTGCCTTCCCGGGTATGAATCAGCAATAAGCTGGGTGGGAAGATGACCTGGTACTCAAACCCAGGGTCACCCATATGGGATACAGGCATCCCAAGTGACCACTTAACCACTGCACCAAAAGCCTGCCCCTGGATCTTTTTAAATAGTTGACCTATCTCTAAGCGCAGCTGGCAAAGCACACTGTGCTGGACCCCAGAGGCTGACACAGTGTTCATTGAATTAAAGACAACAACCAACTAGGTTAAAAAAAAACAACCAATGCCGGCGCCGCAGCTCACTAGGCTAATCCTCCGCCTGTGGCGCCAGCACACCAAGTTCTAGTCCCGGTCGGGGCGCTGGATTCTGTCCCGGTTGCCCCTCTTCCAGGCCAGCTCTCTGCTGTGGCCCGGGAAGGCAGTGGAGGATGGCCCAAGTCCTTGGGCTCTGCACCCCATGGGAGACCAGGAGAAGTACCTGACTCCTGCCTTCGGATCAGCGCAGTGTGCCGGCCGCAGCGCACCAGCCGCAGCGGCCATTGGAGGGTGAACCAACGGCAAAAGGAAGACCTTTCCAGCTTGTGATCTTTCACAGACTGTGGACCAAGTCCAAGATGAAGTCAGTGACCTCCTTATCAGTTCTGGAAGATGTTGTAGTCTCGAGCACTGTGAATCCAAATGCAAAGAAGTTTGTCCCTGGGGCGAAGTACCACGACATTTGAGTAGACCGGGGCTCTCCTTTGTGAATGTAGCAGTTTCCACATGGAAGCAGTATCACAGAAGACTTCATTGTAAAAGCGTGTTCTTCGATTGTGTTTGCAGCCGCACCGCACCGCCTTCACTCTCTAACGCCAGTTCCACCTCTCACTCGCCGAGCTCCAGCTCCAAAGGACGAGGGGTAAGTAAGGAGGTATTTATACCATGGCTCCTACAGAGCAGACTGCCCGCAGATCCTCTGCTGGTAAAGCACCTGGGAAGCTACTGGCTACAAAAGTCACGTGGCTCACTTGGTTAATCCTCCGCCTGCGGTGCTGGCATCCCATATGGGCACCGGGTTCTAGTCCTGGTTGCTCCTCTTCCAGTCCAGCTCTCTGCTGTGGCCCGGGAGTGCAGTGGAGGATGGCCCAAGTGCTTGGGTGCCTGCACCCGCGTGGGTGACCAGGAGGAAGCACCTTCGGATCTGGGCAGCGCCGGCCATGGTGGCCATTTGGGGAGTGAACCAACAGAAGGAAGACCTCTCTCTCTCACTGTCTATTAACTCTACCTTTCCAAAAAAAAACTGAGTAACTCTGACTTTCAAATATGTGGAACATTTATTCTCAACATGATGGGAAACATTTAATTCTCAACATTTTTTTATCTTCTTCCTGTTATTGGTAATTCTGAATGTTAAATTTTTTTCCCCATGGGGTCAAAAGGTACCTAAGTATAACATTGCAAGTGGAAAAATAGGGCACGGGGGCTGGCGCTGTGGTGTAGTGGATAAAGCCACCACCTACAGTGCCTGCACCCCATTTGGGCACTGGTTTGAGTCCCGGCTGCTCCACTTCAGATCCGGCTTTCTGCTATGGCCTGGGAAAGTAGTAGAAGATGGCTCAAGGTCTTGGGCCCCTGCACCCACATGGGAGACCCTGAGGAAGCTCCTGGCTCCTGACTTCGGATCTGCGCAGCTCCAGCTGTTTTGGCCAATTGGCAAGTGAACCTCTGGATGGAAGACCTCTCTCTCTCTCTCTCTCTCTCTCTCTCTGCCTCTCCTTCTCTCTGTGTAACTCTGACTTTCAAATAAAATAAAATCTTTTGCCGGCGCCGCAGCTCACTAGGCTAATCCTCCACCTTGCGGTGCCGGCACACCGGGTTCTAGTCCCGGTCGGGGTGCCGGATTCTGTCCCGGTTGCCCCTCTTCCAGGCCAGCTCTCTGCTGTGGCCAGGGAGTGCAGTGGAGGATCGCCCAAGTGCTTGGGCCCTGCACCCCATGGGAGACCAGGAGAAGCACCTGGCTCCTGCCATCGGATCAGCGCGGTGCGCCGTCCACAGCGCGTCGGCCGCGGCGGCCATTGGAGGGTGAACCAACGGCAAAAGGAAGACCTTTCTCTCTCTCTCACTATCCACTCTGCCTGTCAAAAATAAATAAATAAATAAATAAATAAATAAATAAATCAAATCTTTTATAAAAAAAAGAAAAACAGAGGACAGAAATCAGGTATTGGCAGTTTTTCCATTTTCATTTGTGTGTGAATTTTTTAATTTAAAATTAATATTTAATAGTCTACTAAATTTATATTAATTATTAATATTAAAATAAATTTATATTAAATTTAATATTAATGGAACATAAAGCATTAGTGCAAGTCAAAATGTTTCAATGAACAAGTTTCAGCAGTTCAACTTTATAATAATTATAAATAAACCTGTCAAATTTTTCTGAGAATTTTTTCTGAATTTTTGTAAAACAAATAAATTTCTTACCGGTGGCAGAAAAAAAAAAGGTTGCTCTTGCCAGTGCTGCACACTTACTTATTGCCAAAGATTTTGTTAATCTTGTATGCTTCAAAAAGTTCTGAGACTATTATTAAGTAGACACTTCTTTAACATTTCCTGAAAGTAGGATCAGCCTCATGGCTTGAGGTGAAGACAGTGAGGAAAGAAGCACCAGTTAACTTGTGACAAAGCACCAAATTAAATGGCTTCTAAATTTTTGCCAACATTGTGACACAACAGGTGAAGCTGCCATCTGCAGTGCTGGCATCACTTATGGGTGCCATTTTGAGTCCCGGCAGCTCCACTTCTGATCCAGTTCCCTGCTAATGGCGTGGAAAAGCAGCAAAGGATGGCCCAAGAACTTGGGCCCCTACTACCCACGTGGGAGACCCTGATGAAGCGCCTGGCTCCTGGCTTTGGCCTGGCCCTGCACTGGCTGTTGCAGCCATCCGGGGAGTGAACCAGTGGATAGAAGACCTCCCTCTCTCTCTTTCTCTGGCTCTCCATCTCTCCCTCTAATTCTGAAGTTCAGTATTAATAAACGAGTTTTTAAAAAATAAAATAACTTCTGAATCTTACTGAATTGTTGTCTTTGAGACTAAAACTTGTGCATAAGGGTTAACTTACTAATGTCTAAACTTTTTTTAAATGAAGAAATTAAGTTCTGATTGTTTCACACATTTCTCAGTTCTGGCTTAAATGTGCATTTATCCCTATCCAAAAGACTCTCCTTTTTTGGAAGAAAGTCTATTAAATTGAAATAATTCATTACAGACAAATGGCCTTTGGTTACTGAAGTACCAATGGTTATCCGTTGATAATAAGTCCTGGCTTTTCTGGTATGTTACCATGCTAGAAATACTGAATTATGCTCCTAATGTTACATCTGAGGAATTTAAGTGATTCGAGAATTCAGTCAAATGCAGAGAATTCACTGCATCATAGCCATGCCTGTATGAAGCTGACATATGACCAACACCAACCCATAATCCAATTGAACAAAGAGATTATAACGTGATTTGAGTGCTATTTTCCCTGCTTTGTTAACCATCACAACAATCTGCAGCACAACTTTCAGTACAGCTAGCCAACTTTTCCCTTCTTGAACTTCATGTTTGGGTAAGTTAAGCTGCCGTACATGTTCAGTGTGAGTAGTATTTAAGTTGAAAATACTATTAAAATTAATTTCAAGAAGATATTTTTAAAATATAATTAGTTGTAGAACTGAAAAAACATCTTTCTCCATTCTGAGTTGGTTTCACTTGATTGTTTATTTTTGTTATGGTCAGTGTGTTAGTACCTCTTGGCATGCCTGGCAATTTTAGATGCAAGAATTTCAGCATTGTTTAGTGTTGGATGTATTTATATTCCTAGGAATCTTCTTGAACTTTGTTCTAGAATGTAGTTAAGTTACTGAGAAACAATTTGATCCTTTCAGCTCTTTTGTAAGTTCGTTGGGTAGGTCTGGAGCAGATCTACAGAGGCATACCCTCCTTGCATACCCTATCCACTGTCCATGACACTGAGATTTTTTTTCTGTTCGGCTGCTGGAAGGAAACATTGTTCCCCACCAACTCTGAACTCTGCTCCCTCTAATCATTTCTGGGTTTGGGCAGCTTGCTTCCAGGCAATGTTCTAATCAGTACTCTCCTAAATAGAGGATCCTTCTGCAGATCTCTCTGCACAGCGGTTTCTTTCTGTGCTTCTCTCTCCTCTCTGAAATCCTACCCAAGGGCTTACTTTCCCTGGACTTGGGTCAAGGAGTGGGTGTACCAGGATTCCCTTTTCCTTCCTCTCTCTCTGCTACAGCCTGGAAACAGGTTCAGAGCAATAAAGTTGGGACAATCTCAGGGCTCAGGGCTCTCTACCTTTGTTTCCTATCTTCTAGGGATCATTGGCCTTTGTTGCTGGGTACCCAGGATATTGAGAAACCACTGTTTCATGTACGTTGCCTGATTTTTGTTCTGGATTATTTTAGACAAGAGGATTGTTACTTGATCTTTGCTGGAATGAGAGTCCCAGGAATGGAGTTGTAACAAACCTCCCAGTCTTAAGTTTAAGAGTTCTATTGAAGTTTGAGAAACATATTGATACATGAACTTAATGTTATGTTATTGTTTTATTAACACTACCAGTCACCATTTACTATGAAGACAGGATTAATGAATCAGTAATCTTTGTATTTACTGAAAATACTGGAAATATTTATAGATTAATTCTCTCATTTCTGTGTTTTGTGGTGTGGAAGATATTTTAGTAACTATTAGACATTTAAAATATTTGTGCAGCCAGAAAGCATGGAGATTTGGGTGAAGGAAAGAAGATTTTGTGAAATAACCTTATTTTATTAATACTGCTGTTATACCAGTGAGTAGTCTTAGTCATTTAAATTTAAGCTACCTAATTTCATTAACTATGCAACTTTTATAAATCTTACTGGCATTAGTGGCTTCAAGCTGTGTACTTATCATAAAAATCACTGTGCTTTAAATTACCCAGAAGGATTCTTCTGGAAGTCGGGAATATGACTGCTATAAATACTTTGAAGCCTTATCAGTACAACAGTCAATTCCAGTCTGCCGTTAACATGCTGTCTTATAACTACATTAGCTACTGTATTTGCAGCATATTGGGTGTGTTTGTGTGTGTGGCTGGTGGAGGGAGGGGGATGCTATTTTTGTTTTCCTGTACTAGAAATCAGTGTGTGGTTTAATTCACTCATATAATTATATATATACAAAATAGACTTGACAAAACTATAAAAAGAGACAAGATCACTATCTAATGATCAAGGGATCAACTCAGTAACAACACAGAATGACTGAAAATGTATAGCATACCTAATGCCAGAGCACCCAATATTATATATATTGTTCACTTCTGGTTTCCATTTGCATGGAATATCTTTTCTCATCCTTTCACTTTCAGTCTCTGTGTGGTTTTACTGGTAAAATGAGTTTTTTATAGCTACCATATCATTAAATGTTGTTTATTTTCCTGTATCTTTTAATTGGGGCATTTAGTTTATTTACATTCAAGGTTATGATAAGCAATGACTGGGTCATATCATTTAAAATTTTTTTATTTAAACATCCTTTGTTCTTCCTTTCTTGTTAATTCATCTTTATGATTTCGTTAACTGTATTGATAACATTAGATTCTTTCTACTCTTTTGTGTATCTACTCTTCTAGCAGGTTCATAGTTTTACATACTTTTAGGATGTTATTTTATCTTCTGTTTGCTTCTTGGTGTAGATTCTTTTTAAAAAGATTTATTCATTTATTTAAAAGTCAGCGTTAACACAGAGAGAGGGAGAAACTTAGAGAAAAATCACTCCCAAGCAACTCCACCACTATGCCACAGCACCAGCCACCTGGGTGTAGACTCTTTTAAGCATTTTTTGTAAGGCTAGTGGTGAAAATTCCACCCATTTTTCCATGTCTTAAAAAGTTGTTATTTCTCCTTCATTTACGAAGGATAATGGCAAAGGTTTCTTTTTTCAGAACTTGACGGATATAATTCCGTTCCCTCCTGGCTTGTAAGGTTTCTGCTGGAAAATTTGCAGTTTTTCTGGTGGGGGTCTCCTTAAATGTGTCTTGGTGATTTCCACAGGCAATTTTTAGAATTCTCTCTTGCTGTTGCACTTGGCAGTTTGATTATAATGTTCTGTGGTGAGATCTTTTCTGGTCTTTATGATTTGAGGTCCTCAGGCCTCTTTGTACCTGGATATCTATTTTTCCCAAGATCTGGAATGTTTTCTGCTATTATTTACTTGAAAGTATTTTTTTTATGAGTTTACTTTTTTTCTTCTGAAATCCCCAAAATTTGAATATTTTTTAAATTTTTTCCCAATGACTTCATGGGCTTAATTTTTATTTTATCCATTTTTTTTCTCCTTTTGTCTGACTGACAAAAGACAGTCTTCAAAAGACCAGTCTTCAAGATCAGATAGTATTTCTTCTACTTGTTCCAGTCTGTTGTTGAAATATTCAAGTGTATTTTTCATTCAATTTAACTCGGGTTTTCTGTTTGGTTCTTCTTGAAAATTTTTCATTGTTGACTTTCTCATTCATATCCTGGGTTATTTTCATAATTTTATTGAACATTCTGATTGTATTTCTTTATAATTTTTTTGAGATTTATTTGAAGGAGTTAGGGACATACATGGATGCAGGGGCCCAAAGACTTGGGCCATCTTCCTCTGCTTTTCCAGGCACATTAGCAGGGAGATAGATCAGAAGTTGAGCAATTGGGACTTGAACTGGCATCCATTTGGGATACTGACATTGAAGGTGGCAGCTTAGCCTGTAACACCACAACAAGGGCCCCTATAAATATTATTTTGTTTATCAGGTGTTCCATCTTTTTTTTTTTTTTTTTGACTCTGTTGCTAAAGAGTAACTGTGCTTCTATGGAGACACCATGTTACCTTGCTTTTTCATACTTATGTCCCTATGCTGATATTTGTGCATATGGAAGATTAGTTGTCTCTATTATTTCTAAAAGGTGGCTTTCATGGCAGAAGACTTTTTCCTGATGATCTTTGAGTGTTGGTTTGGTAGACTACTTTGGCTTTAGTTCCAATTCAACACTACAGCTTCTTCTGCTGCAATTGATAGCAATTGTGGAGGGGGTATAGGGCGTTTGTTCTCAATTCCAGAGAGACACGCAGTTCCCAGCAGTGACACATGCCTCCTTGGCTGGTGAGGAGAAGGGGGAGTCAAGAGGGCAAGTACCCAGCTTCTAGGATCTGGCTGCAGGGCCACCCTGGGTGAGCCACCTTTCCCCCGTGGTACATGACACTGCATGGGCTGGGGTGTAGGGTCTGTGTGGGACTGGGAAGCTGTAGTCCTTTTTGTTACTTTGTGGGCTTCATGGGTGGGAGTTATGCAGGAGTTTCTTTCTCCTAGGGCAGTATGATTTCTGACAGTGTCTGCATTCTCAGGCTGGGACCACGCTGTCTTAGCCTGTGTTCTGTGCATACAGAGCTACTGTGCATACTTCAGGTAGCACCTTTTACTGGGCTTCAAGCCTGTGCCTGTTCTGCAGCTAGGATTGCCACCGTATGGCCTCCACGGAGATGCTAGTCGGCTGGAGTGCTCTCCCCTTTCCCTTTCTCCTGCACTGGGGATTCCCTCTGGCTGTGGGCCCTATGTCAAGGCTGCCAGTGTGGTGTTTTGTTTTTGTTTTTGTTTTTTTCATTTTCTATGATGCTATCCCAATTCTATCTCACTGAGCTCCAGTGTTTTCCCTCAGGTACTCTGAAAAGCAGATATTTGTTGTTTGTTCTTCTTTGTGGAGGAGGCAAATGCCAGGTACCTCTACTTTGCCATCTGGATATCTCCTAATATGTAGCATGTTCTTAAGTGGAAATCTAAAAAATCTATTATTGTATCTTCATATGCTTTGTTTGTTTAGAATTTTAGAGGCTAAAGATGGATAACAATTCTTTCCATTTATTTTGATGACTTACTTAACAAAAAATATGGAGTAACATTTGAAAAATAGGGAGGAGGGCCCATATAATTTCTCGTGAGAAATTTAGGGAGTTCATTGAGATGACCCTTAGAATCAGGT